CACACAGCTCTTGATCAGAAAGGAAACTCTGTGTCATGATCGAACCACAGGCAGAGAATGGTCTGAGAGGTAACCAAAAATAACTGCCTACCGTTCAGCAGGACCATCCATCCACACAAATCCACAGTAATCCAGACTACCCTATGCTCCTGCTTGGCAAAATTAGCTGCAACAAAAGCCAAGCAACATGGCCTAAGGCAAGACCAGATTCCTGAAAGACAGGTTGCTTACCTGTAACTCATTCTTTGAGTGAAAATGCCCTCCTCCTAGCCCTCTCCACCTTGATCTCACTAGGGGGAAGGGTATTTGGAGGAGGAGTTCCAAAGAGGATCTTACTGGATGGGTAGGAATATATGGAGAGAGGTGCTCCCTGGTCCCAAGCCGTTTAGGGCTTTATATGTCAAAGACAATACTTTGAATTGGGCCTGGACTAGAACAGGGAACCAGTGCAGCTGATGGAGGACCAGTGTAATATGTCCTTACCAGCCAGTTCTCGTAAGCAGCTGCACCACCCTGTTTTGTAGATCCAGTCCATTTTCAAAGGTTACCCATGTAGAATGCATTAGAGTTGTCCAGGTGAGAGGTTACCAGTACATGGGTCACTGTGGCAAGGCTCTGTTCATTCAAGTAGGAATGTAGCTGAGAAATAAGCCAAAGCTGACAGAAGACGCTCCTGGCCGAGTCCATCTGAGAAAACAGGGAGAGCTTGGGGCCCAGGAGCACCCCTAAGCTACAAACCTTGTCCTTTAGGGGGAGTTCAACCCTGTCCATGGTAGGTTGAACATTTCCTGGTTGGAGTGCAGGAGTGTCTTGTCTGGATTCAGCTTCAGTTTAATGGCTCTCATCCAGCCCATTATCAAGTTCAGGCACCAGTCCTGGACAGCTACCACCTCATCTGGGTCAGATGAAAAAGTGAGGTAGAGGTGGGTATCACCAGCATACTGATGGCACCTCAGCCCACACCTCCAGCTGACCTCACCCAGTGTTTTATGTAGATGTTGAAAAGCATGGGGGACAGAATTGAACACTATGGAACTCCATGACACAGTCACCATGGCACAGAGTGACAGTCCCCCACACCACCATCTGGAACTGGTCAGCTAAGTAGCAGTGGAACCACTGCAGAGCAGTGCCCCCTACTCCCAACCTGGCCAGATGCTCCAGGATACCATGGTTGATGGTATCAAAAGCTGCCAAGAGATCCAGGATCTCTTGAACTCCCTTATATTTCTCCCTGCAAAGGTTATCCCACAGGGTGACCAAGGCAGTCTTCATCCTGAACCCAGGTTGAAAACCTGATTGAAATGGGTCTAAATAAACAGTTTCCTCCAAAAGTGCCTGGACAAGCCGGCCCACCACCTGTTCAGTCACCTTGCTCAAGAAGGGGATATTGGCTATTGGTCTAAAATAGTTTGCATTGCTCAGATCCAGGCCTGGCTGCTTTAGGAGTGGTGTTATCACAGCCACCTTTAAAGGGGCTGGCACCACTCTCTCTCAAGGAAGCATTGACAGATTCTTGAACCCAGGAAACCCCCTCCCTAGATCTCCCAATAAGCAATGATGGGCAAGGGTCAAGTGGTGGGTCACACTTGTATAAGCACCCTGTCCACATCATCGGGCCGCAGTAATGGACAATGATCCAATAAAACAAGATCAGATGGTGTGTTGGACACCTCTAGGACAACTGGAACAGCTATGGAACTAGGACAACTATGGTATCCAAGTTGAAGCAAATTCAAGTGATTTTGCTATCAAAGTGTTGCACAAATTCATCATAGTGGACTGCCGAGGGTTCAGTGATATTTCTTTTGGGGCCAGAGTCTAGAAGGCCCTGAACCACTCTGAACAGCTCCACTGGACAGCACTCCGAGGATGCAATGCAGGTGGAGTAAAAGAGTATTTTAGTCACCTTTACCACCACAGAATAGCCTTGAATAAGCACTAAGCTGTGTTTGGATGGATTTGGCCTGAGTTTTCCTTCACCTGAACTCTAGCCATCTCTCCACCTGCTTTATCCCCCTCAACTCAGATGCATACCAAGGAGAGGTTGGGCTTTACAGGTGGGGAGAGAGCACTTGGGGTTGATTGTGTCAACTGCCTGGGTCGTCTCTCTATTCCACAGAGAGACCTGGACTTTGGCAGGAGCACCTACCATGCCAGCCAGAAAACCCCTCAGAACCTTCTAGAAATCTGCAGGATCCATTAGACTCCACTTAATGAGTCCCCCACTCCTGCAAAGGGAAGAGAAAGCTGAATGTTCAAACCTCAAGAGCAAGTTATCTGTCCGTGACAAAGGGGTAGTTGTCAAATCCCCTACCACCAGATCACCATCATCCCGCCCAGTTGAGAAAACCAGGTCCAGAGTGTGTCTCTTCACATGTGTCAGGCTGATGACATGTTGAGATAGCCTCATGGTTGTCATAAAGTTCTGAGCCATCCTGGACAAAGTAGCCTCAGCGTGGAAGTTGAGGTCACCCGGGACCAACATCATGGGGGTCTGCAACGCAAATTCAGAGACAACCTCTGTCAGGTGGGTAGCAGGATGGATGGTAAACTAGCAGAATTCCTAATCTTTCCCGATCACCCACACCAGATAAAGACACTTAATGTTGTCTGAAACCAGTCACTGATGGGAAGAGTGTTAATATGGTGGCATATTTTGTATTTTAGCATCATTGCTTTTGCCTCTGAAAATGAATTCATCCTCCATGTGGAAAGAGGTTTCCCACTCCAGGTCTGTGCCTACTGGTAGTGGCTGCCCTAGATTTTAGGAAGGAATTTTTCCCAGCTGTGTATGGAATTATTGGGGACTGAACCAGAACTGCTTCATGCAATGTGAGTGTTGTATCACAGGGTTATAAGCCCTTCTTCCCCATTATCTGCTGCTTACAAGAGCTGGTGCTGTATGCTGAATTAGTCTCTTCGTGAACTGACTCAGCTTGGGAGAGGGACAGATGTCATTTAGTGTGGTGCAGACAGAAGAGACAGAGGTAAGGTCAGATCAGGGACCCAAAGTAGCTCAAGTGGTTGAATGGATAGCTATAATTTGAAGCTCACAGAAAAACATCTCTGCCACAATTCCTGCAAGTATTCATTTCTGTGTATCTTGCATCTCAGTGCGTTGCTTGAAATGATTCATGGACGTTTGCTAATAGTATCAGGGATGTAAATTTTTCTACAAGTCCTCAGCAGCAGAGCAGTTAGATTCCAGGAGGTCGTTCTCTGTCTGCTTTACAGTTAAGCTTTCTCTGAACCACTTGAAAAATAATGTCCACCATTCTTAAATGAGTTTTGCAATTGTACATCTCTAAAACCCAGAGGAAAGTAGTCTCCTTGTCTTTCCCCATTGTACTGATATGGAGTGTTTGTGCCTGGTACATCATGGTGCCTCCTGGCTGTCTGTTCTTGCTTTCTTGAAAAAGATTGAAATCAGATCCTTTAAGTGAAGTATGTAGTGAATTTCAGCAGGGTCCAGCACTGAGCTTTTGTTGGGTGGTTGCAGTGAAGCCAGATTCAGAAAACTGGAATTTTGAAGTTTGGCTGATCCTTTCTGCTGTAATAAATAAATTAGTATTCCCCAGTGATGTGGGGTGGAAATTTTTCCAGTGCTATACCTTTTCATGGATTTTTTTTCCATTTCTTAAGTTCATTAGTAACAATGAATGATGACTATGATTCACTGAACAGTTTAAATCAGGACAAAGAGTTTTTCACATGTCAATTGGTTTACTTAGTGCCAGGATGTTTGTCCTCTCAGCTGCAGCAGTAGTGAGAATAGTTATGTTAATAATGTGATTGTAAGTGTCACTGAATTTCCTTCTAACGAGTTCTCAGCTTTCCACACCCATATGTGCTGTTATAAAGAACTTAAACCCTTGGTAATGCTCCTCCTCTCTGATGGAATAGGCTGTTGTCTTAGATAAGTCAGTCTAAGTCAGTCAGCAGTCAGTCTTTAAAATGCCAGAAGATTCTGGTTTTGCTACAGTGCACCAACCTGGTGTCCCTCTAGAAAATGAGTGGATGCAAATTGCATATAGGAAAACCTGGCAGTTTCTGAGTTAACATGTGATCATCACATATTTTTCTAGTGATTAGTCCTATCATGTATGTGACAGGATGCATATATATCGTTGAAATACATCTGTGTCTCAGGATTAAGTGGAACTATTAAGTAGCAACAGTGAAGCTGAAGCTATCCCCACAACCTTAACAAAGGAGAGTTAAACTCTGTTGAATCTAATGAATTGTTGTCTGCATATCGTGCACGGTTCTTTGGGTTGCTAAAGTTTATTAGAGAGCAATCCTGCAGGCTCTGGGTGAGCATCCCCAGGGACCATAGGATTGTTTGGATTCCTTCTTCTGAGTTCAGAGATCCTACCCAGTTTCCTGACCCCTTGCAGCCAGTTAGGGAAGAACCATGCCAGCTGTCTTCTGAATTTGGAAAAGCAACCTTGGAAGAGGGGGTAAGGGGGCATTCCAGCAGGCAGGGAATTACCTAGGGACGTCATGGGCTCTCCCACACTGAAGGCAGTAGGACAGCCATCTGTCAGGGGTGCTTTAACTTGGAGTCCTGCACCGAGCAGGGGTTGGACTTGATGGCCTTACAGGCCTCTTCTACCTCTACTGCCCTATGAGTCTATGATTGAATAAGCTGAAATCTAATCCAGACAAAATGGAAATGCAGTTGATTGATGATTCTAGCCGTCTGGTAGTAGGTGGACACCCTGTCTTGGATGGGGTCTCACTCCTTTTGCTGTTCACATTACCAGACTTGCATGGATACTACACAAGTGAAATAAGCTGCTGTTGAAATACTGCTTTGGTAAGCTACTGATTCTGAACAGGACTGATGTGAATGCTTTCTCAGAGTGGCATTGTGTGGGCAGGCGGATACCTTTCTTGCATTTTGCTTGACTGACCCAGGTAACATAACTGAAAGTGCCTCTTGGGACAGTAAAGGACCTAGAAAAATGACTATTTTATTATCTTCTTCCCCACAGGACGGTGGCAGCTGAAGTAAGAAAGCAAGTGTCCCGAGAATATGGCAACTCCCCCCAACTCTCCAAGAAGCGTGGTGGCACCCCACAGTCTGTAAGTTCCCTGGTAGGGTCATGGGGGGTTCCTCAACAATTCCTGATGAAATTGAACCTCTCCTCTCCAGTTCTCAGTCATTTAAACAAGCCTAAAAAGCTTCTTTTTAAGGTTGCCTTTGACTCATTTGCAAATGGGTCATAGGATCCTGGGTCAACAGCTTTTCTGCTCTGGTACTGCCTACATGTTGCTGCTGTGAGTCTTCCCTTTTTAATATCAGTTGCTTTGAATGGGCCCTAAAATAATGGATCAGGGACATGGGGAGAAGCACTGAATTATTTGTTATCCTTTCAATAAAAGAAGTCACCTCCCCCCCCCCCCCAAATCTTTATTTCAGAAGCTTGGTTTAGTGAAGAAAAGCCTGTGAGCTGCTCCTCCTGCAGGAAATGATAGGGAAGTAGGATTTCACAGGAATTATTTGCATTATTCCTTTAGGCCACATTCATTCCCAATCCTCAGTAGGCCTTCTATAACAGAAGGGCTACTGGAACTGGTCCTAAGAGTTGCTGTCTTTTGGGTCCAATCATTCCTTTGGCAGTGTTATAAAGAGAGCATAGTTTGGTGAATAGTGGATAAAAGGAGTTGCATTTCACAAATTCACCAAATTTCTGTGTTCATCTTAGATGGGCAGAAGGAGCAGAACAGGAGCTGTAATTTCTGGGCTTCAGTGATTGTAGCATCTGTTGTCTTGGGGCTTTTTAATGCTTGCACGGCAGTGTATGTATTCTATTGCAGGTTTCCATCTTCCAGGTATGAAAGAATAAGGAAGTGGAAATTTGAGTGGGGCATGACTAGAGATGTTGGGTTCCTTTGAAAGGGTATCGACAGTTGCAGTCTACCATATTTCTGTGCATGCACATATGTGTGAATTCTTTCCATTCTTGCTTCTGTAAGGTTACTGCTGGCCCCACTTAGTATCATCTGCCCTCTGGCCTTGAGATATTTTAAGGGCTTCCTCTCTGGCTTTTGTGTGTTCCTAAGCGAGCCTTTCCGTAAGCAGGCATACTTGCTTTCCTCTCACTTAGCCACAGCCACACAGTTTGCTGCCTGGAGTTCAAGCAGATGTAAATTGCCAAGAGAAACTTTTGCATCATTCCTTGTTGCCATTTGTTATAAGAACAAAAGGTTTCATTTAGGCACTCTTCCAAGTGGCGTGTGGCATGTGGTGTAATTTTTGGCTTGAAAGAGAAGAAGGAAGGTTCCCCTCAGCAGCTGTTTCTTCTTACCCTTCTCTGAACAAGAGTAATTCAGCAGCACAACCACTCTGAATCCTACTGCAGTTGTAAAGATTAAAGAGTGGCACTTTGTATAGTGTGGTGGATGCAGCCGGCTCAGGGAGGCAAGTGATGTGGTATGGTTGGTGGGGCAGGATGCAGGAGCTAGAGTGATTAACTAGTCTAAAAGATGGTCCCCAGCACACCTCATTATTTTGAATTCTGCCCCCTTTTCTTCGTGGTCACTGTGCATCACACATACAGGCTCTGCACCCGCATGAGGCCTGTTGTTGGGAAGATTTTCCTAGTTAAGCTTGCTTTGGTGGGAGCCCTGCCCCCTCTCCCCCGGTATATATAGGAGGGGCCCCCACCATTTCCCCCAGTTCTTTTATGATAATTGTTTTGGATGCCTTGGGTTCTCCTTCCTAGATCTTTTCATCAGCTGTTTGTGAACTTTCTATTAACCTTAAATCTTTTTCCCTACTTGCTTGAAACTGCACTTCCTACATTTTTCTTATTCATACCCATTTTTTACGTACACTTATCCAACCCCCCACCCCCACCCAAATAAACCCCACAAACCCTTCTATCGTCTGCTCTTCCTTGGACTTCTTACTTCAGCTATTTCCCTCTCCCTCTCCCCTAAAGGCACTCAGGGCAGCATTTAGGAAATATGTAGCACACAAACGCCCTCCATAGATGAGCATTCTCTTTGCCTTTTTGGTCCCGGCAAAGACCACTAGGTAGAGTCTTGTCCACATTGCCAGGCTTTTACCCGAGAAGCTTGGAAAAATTGAGCAGGCCAGCTCAAAACAGAAATGTGGAGCCATGCACTCATGGCCATGCAGTCAGTCACTTCAGACCTGCTGGAGCACCCCTCCATTGCTTGGGTAACTCCTGCCTCTCATGCACTGTCAGCAGCTGCTGGGGCCACACCAGCCATTCCATCCACACCGTCCAAGCCTGGGCACGTGCATGATGAAGAGAGGCATTTCCAAGAAGAATGACGACGTCATTATGGGGGGACTTCAGTTTCCCTGATATATGCTGGGAGAGCAGTTAATTTCCAACTGCTAGTTGATTTTTCAGGCATGTACAAAGTGAAGAGCACAGGGCTGCAAGAAAGATAATTGAAATGAATGCATATAAATGCTACAAGTATACTGGGGAGCTCCCATAGATTGGGTTTGGATTGATCAGTGATCTGTCACAGACCATACATTGAGCAAGGCAATCCCAGTGCTGATAGCTGCTAGTCCAGAGGAAGTAGCTGGTAGAAAATTAGAAAGAAAGTAGAAAATCTGTATAGCTCCCGATCCAAATGGCAGCTGGAAGTAGCCCAACATTCTCTGCATGCCTGGGGTGCAGAAAGGTGAGGGCTATCCTGTGTGCTGGTCTTGAGACCCCTTTTGGACAACCTAGTCTCTTCCGGGTAGTCTGTAAACTGCCCTTGTGAAATGACACAGTGGTTTTCATGGCAAGAGTAAACTGGCAATTGTGGTAAAGGCAGAAGAGTGTGGAGCTTGGTATTGGTTGCCGAATTCAGGATCTTGAGAATTTGATTTCAGCCCTAATCAGCTGCTTACCCTCAACTTCGTATTATGTAGCAGAAGCAAAACATGAACACACAGAATAAGCAATTCCCAAGGAAGATTACTTAACTGTTTTTATTCACTTAGCTTTTTCATAGTGATGGTTTTTAAAGGCAGAGTGCCCATCACCCATTGTTTTGTCTTCTGAGTACTGCAGGCATTCCCCTTGCATAAACTTGTTTGTGTACAATGAAAAGGAAGGCATATGTTCCTGACTTATGGCCTGGTATTAAGTCCTAGTCTACAGGTAAGATGGTAATGAAATAAACTCCTGCAGACAGATAAGTCAATTAGTGTTGCCTCTTACATTTAAAGTCACTGGTTATGCAAAAACATTCTGGGCTAGTGAAGCAATGGGGGAGGCCCCCCTGCAAATCACTGCACTGATGGGCATTTGTAAGTCCTTTGTTAGGCTGAGACCAGGAATAAAGAAAAAAAATCCTTATTTTAGAAATGGTGCTAGATAGACTTTTGAGAGAAGCCAGCTTTGATGGTGATACCTGCTTTTGGAGAGCTGGGTTATGCTTCATGGTAGATAGCCCCATCTTGCTAGAGTCCAGCATTCTTGATCATACTCCTTGGTTAGTGTTAGAATGTTGTGTTTGGGGTTCTGATTTATACTACTTGAAATGCTATTCTTCTATGGCAAAGAAAACAATTTATGAAGAAATAATTTTCTTCATGCATAGCTAAATTTCATATTCTCCAAGGTAAATAAAGAACAGATACTACATTGATGTACAGTATATCAGTTAGACTTTTAGCCATATCATAGATTACAGATAGGATATTTGTAAACTTAATGGAAAATTAGGTGATACGGTCTTTTCCTCCAGTTATCTTGGAGTTGGAGAGGGAAGCCATGAGCCAGGAAGCATTTATTTGAAAGGTGTTGAGTCCCAAGAAGTGTAGGTTCAGATCCCATTGGTTAACCTTGGGCAAGTGATCATTAGTTCTCAGGTCTGTAAAACGGGAAACAGTAGCTAGCTATTTGTCTTCAAAACCTGTATAATGTAGTGGTGATGAAGAAGAGAAATGTTATTAGGTGCTATGCAACACATGGAAAACATTGCATAAATTGTATGTATATATTAGCCTGAGCCCCTGCAAACTAATCCTTATCATCTCAATTATCAACAACAATTACTACAACAAGCATGGTAAAAGGACTCACCAGGCAACTTAAGCAAGAGGACTGCACCTTATGCTCCTTTCTCATTTGTACCCCCCTTCTTTTCCTCTGGAACTCCTCTCAGGTGCCTCTGACAGAAGTGGTGGAGCCACTAGACTTTGAGGAGTACCTTTGCAGCCACTTGCCAGATGCAGAGCCAGGTCCTCTTCGAGACCTGGTTGAGTTTCCTGCTGATGATCTGGAAGTGATCCATGAACCTCGAAACTGTCGAACACTGGAACTTGGTGTCCCTGAAGATGGGCAAGTGGTCTTTTTTAATAATTGTGTGGTTCTGCTGATACCTGAGAGAACTTTCTCTGCTTTGAATTGCTTCTGCAGTTGGTTCTGCATTCATTCACTGTGGTACCCAGGGTCAAGGCATGTTAGGGTTGTTAGGACAAGAACTTGGCAATTATTTTACTGGTTTTGTGCTATTGCCTAGTCAAAACATGTGCCAGGCAGCCACCTGTATGAGTGAGAGAGAACAGGCTGCTCTAACATAGAGCTGGGAGTTCTGTTTGCAGATGTCCCAGAAAAAATTCCTGCCCAGGACACAAGCTGCCTTACTTCTGAATAAGGATGTAGCTTATGCTAGTGTGATTGAGGATACAGATGACCTAGGCATTCATATTTATTCATTTATCAGGATTCAGAACTATGGGCTCATTGTGGGGAATGTACTTATTAAAAGCAAGAAAGATGATAAATTTATGGATCAATGCATTTCAAGAATAGTGTATAATATTCTTTATATTTTGTCTTGTCACTAAATATGTTGTCAGTGGGACAACTTGGGGACTGTTTAACAAGTTGGAATTGTGAGATGCCCACATGTAAATATACATTTTCACAATTCAAGCCTACAGGCACAAAATAAAACCAAAGTACAGTCAACAGTATAGGGAAGTAACAGTACAAGGATTTCTGAAACACCAACACAGTTTTAAAAATTTAAAGGCTGAAATGACTGAATGAGCAAAAGGTATTTACTTGGCACTGAAATGACGACAAAATAGGTGCCAGGTGAGGCTGTCTGCAGAGAGGATTCCACAGTCAGGGTGCAATCATTGAAAGGCTTTCATATTTGGTGGAGGCAGCTGGGGAAGGCAACCTTAGTGTCTGGTTAGGGATGTTGTTGTTAGTCATGAAGTCGTGTCTGACCCATTGTGACCCCATGGACAACATTCCTCCAGCCCCTCCTGTCCCCCACCATCTTCTGGAGTCCACCCAAGTTCACACCAACTGCTTCAGTGGCTCCTTCTATCCACCTCATCCTCTGCCGTTCTCTTCTTCTTTTGCCGTCAATTGTTCCCAGCATTAGGCTTTTCTCCAGGGAGTCCTTCCTTCTCATTAGGCGGCCACAGTATTTGAGTTTCAGCTTCAGTATCAGGCCTTCTAAAGAGCAGTCAGGGTTGTTCTCCTCTAGGACTGACTGGTTTGCTCTCCTTGCAGTCCAAGGGACTCGCAGGAGTCTTCTCCAGCACCACAATTCAAAGGCCTCAATTCTTCAGCGCTAAGCCTTCCTTATGGTCCAGTCTTCATAGCCATACATTGAAAGGTTAGGGATATGCACCAGGAAATGTTCAGATAATCTGTTTCCAAACTGTTTAGTGCTTTAAAAGTAAAGACAAACACTTTTGGATTGGACTCAAGATGAAAACAGATTGGATGCCAGAGCAAATTATTGTGCACTGGTGTAATAGGTGATCGTATCTTCCAGTCCCAGTCAGCCAGTCTTGCTGCCCTATTTTGGGCTGGCTGAAGTTTACAGTTTTTTTTTTCAAAGGCAGCCTTACCTACCTTTGCAGTAATCCTACCAGGATGTCACCAGAGCATGGATAACTGTAGCAAGGCTACAATGTAGAGCAATAATCCCCCCAGCACCATTTTCTGGATTTGACTTTCAGGTACAGTAAAATTCTTGCAATCCAGTCACTCCAAGCCCCAGTCCAGATAGCCTGCTCAGAAAGATGCAGTGGTTAATAGTATCAAAAGCCCTGATTGAAATAGATTTAAGATCCAAGTGTGCCTTGAATCTGCAAGCAACTACTCACTCAAGCAACTTGTGCAGTTGGGAAAATTTGCAATTGGCCTACAGATTTTTCTCTTCTGAAACCAGGTTAGGTTTCTTCATGAGTTGCCTAATAACAACTACTTTCAAAGAGGGTGATATCACTTATTTGTCAAGGAGTACTGTTCAGGCTCCTGGATCCAGATGAACAGCCCCTCCCTGTTGACAGTAATAAGCCATGGGGGTAAGGTGCAAGCAGCATGCTTCTTAGCTGGACTTAGGCAAGCAGCGTGTTCCCATCCTCAGACCTTAACAACTAGAACTCATGGAAGAAGCTTGGACCAGATAGTGCTCTAGACACTTCCATGAAATAAATAGTACTATGATATCCGTGAGCAACTGTCTCACAAATGCCTCTTCACAGTTGTTACCAAGTGTGCCACCATATTGCTGCCAGGGCTAGATTGCAACAGGGCTCCACCCATCAGGAAAAGTTTCTCTGGACAACACTGAGAAGAGGCAGTGGTAGTAGAACAAAGCTCAGTCACTGTCATTGTCCTGTAGCAGGCTCCATGTTGTTGTTAGTTGCGAAGTCATGTCCGACCCATCGCGACCCCATGGACAACATTCCTCCAGCCCCTCCTGTCCCCCACCATCTTCTGGAGTCCACCCAAGTTCACACCAACTGCTTCAGAGACTCCATCTAGCCACCTCATCCTCTGCCATCCCCTTCTTCTTTTGCCATCTATTGTTCCCAGCATTAGACTCTTCTCCAGGGAGTCCTTCCTTCTCATTAGGTGGCCAAAGTATTTGAGCTTCATCTTCAGGATCTGGCCTTCTAAAGAGCAGTCAGGGTTGATCTCCTCTAGGACTGACTGGTTTGCTCTCCTTGCAGTCCAAGAGACTCGCAGGAGTCTCCTCCAGCACCGCAATTCAAAGGCCTCAATCCTTTTTCACTCAGCCTTCCTTATGGTCCAGGCTTTCACAGCCATACATTGCAACTGGGAAAACCATATCCTTGACTATATGAACTTTTGTTGGCAGGGTGATGTCTCTGCTTTTTAGTATGCTGTCTAGATTTGCCATAGCTTTCCTCCCAAGGAGCAAGCATTTTTTAATTTCTTAAAAATTAATTTTTAAGTGCTGGCATATTGAGTGTAGCACTTTTACTGCATCATCTTTTAAGATTCTAAATAGCTCAACAGGAATACTGTCGCCTCCACTAGCTTTGTTGTTGCTCAGACTTCCTAAGGCCCATTTGACTTCACATTCCAGGATGTCTGGCTTGAGGTCAGTGACCACCCCTTCGTGGTTATCAGGGACGTTAAGCTCTTTCTTGTATAGTTCTTCTGTGTAATCTTGCCACCTCTTCTTAATCTCTTCTGCCTCTGTTAGGTCCCTGCCATTTTGGTCCTTTATCATGCCCATCTTTGCATGAAATGTTCCCTTCATATCTCCAATTTTCTTGATGAGATCTCTGGTCCTCCCTATTCTATTGTTTTCTTCTATTTCTTTATACTGTTCATTGAAGAAGGCATTCTTAACTCTTCTAAGCTGTTCTCTGGAATTCTGCATTCAATTGGGTATCTTTCTCTTTCTCCCTTGCCTTTCGCTTTCCTTCTTTCCTCAGCTATTTGTAAAGCTTCCTCAGACAACCATTTTGCTTTCTTGCCTTTCTTTTTCTTTGGGATGGTTTTAGTTGCTGCCTCTTGTACAATGTTGCAAACCTCCGTCCATAGTTCTTCAGGCACTCTATCTATCAGATCTAATTCCTTAAATCTATTTGTCACCTCTACTGTGTATTCATCAGGAATATGATTTAGGTCATACCTGAGTGGCCTAGTGCTTTTCCCTACTTTCTTCAATTTAAGCCTAAATTTTGCAACCAGAAGCTCATGATCTGAGCCACAGTCAGCTCCTGGTCTAGTTTTTACTGACTGTATAGAGCTTCTCCATCTTTGGCTGCAGAGCACATAGTCAATCTGATTTCTGTGTTGACCGTCTGGTGATGTCCATGTGTAGAGACGTCTCTTGGGTTGTTGGAAAAGAGTTAGGCTCCATAATGATCTCTAATCTACATTCAGCCATATTTTTCATGAGTTTTTCAGTGCTGTTATACATCTAGCTGTCACACATTTAAATGTACACTTAGCCCATGCTGATGAGACAAGATGTTGGATGAGCAACATTAGCTGGGCTCAGCTCTTCCAAACCTGTAGTACTAAACCCAGCAGCTTTCATTTGTTGTCCAGAAGACAAACGTGCCAATTGCTAATAGAAGATGCAGCTGACATTCCACCCTGCAGGGAGGTATGCTGCTATTTTCTTCCATCAGCTCAAGCTTTTGCACCATACAGAGTTCATTGCATCAGTCCCTCTTGGTTTACAAAGCCAGGAGTCACAGCCACCAGTTCCCAGTTTGAAAGGAAAGGCCACCTTGGCAGATAGGGAACCTATTCTTGATCACCACTGAACCCTGAAGCAGAGCAAGCAACCCTAGCCTCCACCTGATGCAAGGAAGGCTTCTGTTGGAAGGAAGCATTTAGCCTACTTGCCAAGCACAGGGGTCAGGCTTCTAGTTGGCCTGTAGCAGGAATCTGCAAAGGTAAGGCAATTGTGATCTATGCAGGAGAAAAGTAGCTCCAGGGGAAGTTATCGTTTGTGGAGAGAAACTTGATTCTAAATTAGCCTTGCAAATAAGTCTGTGGAAATTACTGATTTGTATGCATTTTTTTACTAGCCAATCTGCTGTGTCCAAATTTTTCCCTCTTCTTTGCTCTCCAGGAAGCAGGATGCACATGTACGAGATGCTGTGCAAGTCTACACAGAAGACTGGGTCATTGTCCAGAGGAAGTAGGTTTGGTAGCTGTGTCCTGTTCTTGCACTCTGCTTAGGAAAGAATGGTTTTCTGCCACTGCAGTGTGTGGATGGAAATTTGACGAATCACACAGTTCATCTGTTGGATGTGGTCAGAGTACATATCACTGAAAGATACTTTTGGTAGCAGAGCATTGTGTTTCAGAAAGGGGAAAATGGTTAACCCTTTTTCCAGCTATGATGTTGATTCTTCCCATTTCTCATCCATATTGGCAGTCATGTGGACCTCCTTAAAACTATCATAAACAGCCTCTATCTCTTTGATGATGCTACCGGAAAAGTTGAACAGAAAGGCAGGAAAGCATTGTTTGGAACTTCCTTTAAAGTGCATTAATTGCTCATTGTTCATTTAGAAGTGCCCTGAAAAAATTGTATGGGCTTTAATTATATAAATACACATTTGAGACACAGAGGCCTTCGCCTTTCAAATCCTTTCACTACATGCATAATTATTGCTTTGTCTGTCAGCCACTGATGATGGAGCAGAAGATAAGAACTCTGGGTAGAAGCATGCCTACTGTATTTCTGCGAGGGGCCTTGGCTTCTGCAAAACAAGCACTCCCTTGCCCCATTCCACCATCTTTGATAGGTGGTGTTGCTTATTAAACAGATGAACCCAGTTGATCTCAGATTGTTCTGAACAAAGGAGTGGGTCAGCTGTATTCACTATGTAGCTGGCGCAAGAAGCAGCTATGCATGGGCACCTGCCCTAGTTGCTGCTGCTGCTATTGTTGTTGTTATTACATTGCATTTATATCCTGCATTATATCCTGTATTCTATCATACCACACTGGCCAAGCTGTTGGAACTGGCTAGACATCCATTTCAAGCTTTCTGCTGTAGCACTTAGTAAACAAGTAGAGGGCCCAGCAGAGGAACCCAGAGCAAACCCTTCACCAGTCACCAGCTGGGATGGTACAGGAAGCCAGCAAGCAATCTGATGAGCTGTTTTTGGGCCATTTCATATGCGCTAGCTAGTGTGAAGGCACAGACTAATTTTTGCCAAGTGTGTTACCCTGTGGAGGAGGCACACAGGTGTGCTACTTTCTCTTTGACCTATAATTGTAGCAGTACAAGCAGTTACATTCATACCTACAGGGGTCTTCCAAGTGAGGCTGTTATCATGCATTCCTGCTGCCTCAGACACTGGTGTTATAGGATATGTAGGAATGCCTTTCATTTGAGCCACTATTACTTCCATTTTTTTCTTATCAAGAAAAATATTCTAAAGAGGGTGGTATAGAATAGGTACACAGTGCCTTCTGAATGGTAGGAGGCCTTGGCTATAAGCCACCTGAGTTAGTTGGGAATCTGTGCCCCTCAGTCCCAGGCCCTTTCCCTCTGTGGGCTGCTCTGAAACTTGCTCCCAAGGTACACGGTTTTAGAGAGTTCCCAGTCTATATTACTTGTGGAGACCCTTGGGATGGTACTGCTAATAGTTTCCCACTGAGCTCATTTCTCTTTTGTTGGCACTCCCAAGTGCATATGGAAGCAAGTAGAGATTGTAAATAGATATTATGGGGCAGGACTCATTGCTGCTCCTGACCTGTGACTCCCTAGTACAAGAAATGCATGGGATGCTATTAGCATTTTCACTGCCATAAAATGTGCATAAGTAGGGACTGGTGCCATCAGATGAGTTGAACATTGAGCATGGTTTATCACATCACATGCTCGCTTTACTAGGTATTATTGGGGAGAAATGTGTTCGGGATGTAGCCATGAATCTCCTGGTTGTCCAGTTGGACTTTAAGAAGAATGTCAAGACTAAAGCACTCAGTGCTAAGAGCATAGCTGTATGTTTCTTCCTATATAATGGCACCAAGTGGACATATTACATATATTGTCTGCAAAAGACACCCTGCTCCCCTTAAAAAGGTCTGTATACCAGGATGTTCCAGAAAGAGTTTTTATAGTAAAATAGAGTACAAACTTAAGAAGAGTCCTACTGGAGCCATCCAAAAGTCCATCTGGTCTCACATTTTGTTCATACAATGGCTAACCAGCTTCCCATGAGAAATCCCCAAGCAGGACAGGAGTGCAATAGCACCGTTCCACCCATTTTCCCCAATAAGTGGTATATGTGTGCTTCTGATAGTGGAGGTAGTGTACAGCTGTCAGAACCAGTAGCTACTGAGAGTTTCTCCTCCAGCAATTTGTACAAAGTCCCTTTAAAGCCTTACAAAGTGATGGCCTTTAACTGGTGGTAACAGTTAAAACATCCTAAAACTCCATCCTATATTTTTTGTTGCCTTCTGTCATTGGCTTGGTCATGCTCTTTCCTGAAAGTTGTGAAGAGCAGCCAATACCCATCCCATTGCCATGCTTCCCTCAAAGCACACCCAGCCTCATGCTAAAGAGTAGCTGAACTTGTCCTCTTAGCTATTTATTTCAAATTATTTTTGGTTGTCTTTGAAGGGTGAAAGCCTCTCAGTTATGCCCCTGCCTAATTTCCTGTGGGTGGAAATAGAAGAAGCAGTGTGAAAACATGGGGGCATTGCAAATTGAAAGTAATGACATCTGTACCATTCCTACAGTTCTGTGTTTGAAGTGAGGCAATTGGAGGATAAAACAGACTGCTGACTTCATTCCATCCCATTTCTGCACTAGACTGTGATCATACTGACTCATATTTCATAATCAAATATATTTAATCCACATGATATTTGTATGTATTTTGTATGCATTTTTAAAATATCCACATTTGATATGTATGTTTTAAATGTACACATTTATGCACTTTTTAATTTGTGAACAAGCATAGCAAAGTTCGAAAAAGTAAGGATTTTGATATTCATGTTCAAGTTTGCTTTAGTTTCAGAAAGTGTGAAATGAACTTTTCTCCCATCCTGAATGACAAAGGGGAGAAATGAGGAAGCAGAAAGGGAAGGCGTGCTTGTACACTTTTGGCTGCAGTGCACCTCCCTAACTACCAGTGTCATGTAGCCCCTGAGAGTATCCTTCAGGAAAGGTGGATCTCAACAGAAAAAGTGTCCTAGCTCCTGTTCTATGGCAATGGAGGAAACTGGCAAGGAAAACAAGTGCCGTACTGATTGTAGGCTTTATTCAGAGCATGATACAGTGTTTAGGGTTTAAAACCATTATGTCCTGAAAGAGGAGGCATAGGTGGAAAAGCAGCACTGTCCAATTGTGGTGCCTACCCAAATACATTCATATAAAGTGATGGTGCTGCTGAGCCTGATGTGATTGTCTTGTAAATTTCCTCTGCATTCAAGCTGCCTGCATATAGCAACATCACTGTTTTTTCTGTCCTGATGTAGGTACCAAAGGCTGAGCACCATGTATAATGGCATTACTGCTGAGAGGCAAAGGGACAGGCAGAAGGGGCTATCTAGTCAAGTCTTTGAACTAGATGAAGTAGCAGAAGAGCGGAGTAGTCAGGGGGATCTGGTAAGTCAAGTCAGGTTTGTAAAGTCTAGCGACTTCCTGAGCAACCGTTTTTATGTCCTGTAATGACACCATAAGCAATTGGTTGCATTATTGAACTCAACATATTCAATTTTGCTTAATTTATGGGTGGAGGTAGGGGAATCCCCGATTTCAGAACAAAGGAGGCTTTACCTGTGACTCTGGACAGCCTGTAGCTGTTTCCGCAGAAAGGTTCTTGAGCATTCTTCTAGGCTTATGTCCTTGACAAGAAGGATTTGATTCCTTCCAAATGTATGAAAATTTGAAATCTGGCTGACCTTTTTGAATTTAAGGATGTCGAAACTCAAAATATGAAATTTGGACCTTTGCTTTGTGATCCCCATTTTGGCATTTGGTGGGTGGGCTGTGAATGTGGCAAAAGTATTTGCTATATGGCAAATATTTTGCGCAGTCCTTGATTTGTCTTTATGTCGAAAATGATGGCAAAAATCCATATAAATCCTAAAACTCTACTTCAGTAACTGTGTGATTCTAGGTACACGTTATGGACAATTTCCCATTTTCCCAAATCCCTCAAGCTATTTGTTAAAACTTCTGAGTTCCAAAAGCAAGTTGGGAATATGACACAAGAGCTTATGAAAGCAACACTTTCAGTTTTTCCCTCTGTATTCTAGGAGGTGATTTCTGGATAGGAAATTTTCTAGAAGGGAAATCAGGGCATTTGTGAATTCAGGTGGCCTTAATGTTTGCCTCTTGTTCAGTATATTGGGGTATTTGTAACATGGTATTTTACTAAGAAGGTTCCAGATAGAATCTTTTCTCAGTTATGGAAACCTTCAGAAATCCAGTTGATGTAATTCAGACTTCTAAAATGTAATTTAAATAAAAATTCAAATTTATTTTTTTGTACCACAGTCTGGGATTACAAAGTAGCAAAATATAGGGAACAGTGTGTGACAGCAGGGAAGCCTGCCTGCATGGATGTGTAACTAGAAGTCCTGATGGAGGTAGTGGAGGAGGAGGAGTGGAGCAGGCCAGGGAAACTCTGCCCTTCTAAGCCTTGGCTGGTTACTGTTGAGCATCATCAAAATCACCCAAGATTTTGCTTGAAACGTAATGGCTGAACGCAGTGACATTTCAGGTTTTTAGTCTCAGGGTGGAACAACATATTGCCTTAGCAGCAAGTGTGTATTGCTAAGTCTGCATTTTCTGAGAAAACGTGAAGGTGAAATAGGCTTGTGCAGGGGGAGAATTGATGGAGGAATATCAGTGCCCACCAGTTCTTCCATGCAAATCTCACCAACATGATTTTTCTCTGCCTGGCTGAGGGTGACACTCTGTTCACATTGGGGTGAGGGGGATTTTACAGAAAATATGGTTGGTAATAGAATGATTAAACACACCCTTCTGCTTGCCATTTGTCTTTTACCAGTGCTCCTGCAAAGCCCCCTTAGCTTTCTATAAATGTTTCTTTCCTCCTTTTCCTTGTGAGAAAAACAGAGTTGGGAAGAGTATCTCCTTCCCATGATTCATAGTACCATAGAACAGAATTGCTGGAAGGGGCCGGAAGGCCATCGGATCCAACCCCTGCTACTGCAGGACACTTAAGTTACACCATTCCACCCAGATGGGTGTCCAGACACTTTCCGAATGTTTCCAGTGAGGGAGAACCCACAACTTCTCCAGGCAGTAGATTCCATTGCTGTACTGCTCTGACAGTTAAGAAAATCTTCCTGGTGTCTAATCTAAATATGGTTTCTTTTAAGTTTGTTATTCCATGTCCTACACTCTGGAATGGATGAGAAGAGATCTTGTCCTCCCCCTTTGTGGAAGCCTTTGAGGTACTTGTAGAGTGCTATTATATCTCCCCTCAGTCTTCCCTTCCTGAGGAAGAACAAGCCCAGTTCTCTCAGTTTTTCCTCACAGGGCTTGCCTCCAGTGCCTGAATCATCCTTGTTGCCCCCTTTGCTTTTCTAGCTTTACTGCATCCTTTTAAAATTTAGGTGCCCAAAACTGGACACAGTACTCCAGGGTGAGGTCTGACTAGTGCCAAGTATAGTGAAACTAGTACTTGATGTGTTTTGAAAGTGATGCTTCCGTTAATGGATCCCAAAATAGCATTTGCCCCTTTTGAAGTTGCATCACATTGTGGGCTAGTATTTAGCTTGAGATCTACAACAACCACAAGATTCTTCTCATTTGCAGCATTGTTGAGTTGAGTGTTCCCAATCTTGTAGTGTTGCATTTGGTTTCTTGTTCATAAGTGGAGGACTTGGCATTTGTTCCTATTGAATTTCATTCTGTTGTTCTTTGCCCAGCATTCTAACCCATTGAGATCACTCTGAATTTTATCTCTGTCTTCCAGGATATTTGTTATTCCTCAGCTTTGTGTCATCTGCAAATTTAATTACCTTTCCTTGTACTTCCTCATCTAGATCATCAATTAAAATGTGGAAGAGTGCTAGTCCCAGGACAGAACCCTGCAGCACCCCACTTGTCACCACTCCCCAGTTTGAGAATGTGCTATTGATGAGCACTCTTTGAGTCTGATAGTGCAGCCATTAGGTGGATCCATGATTGGCTGCAAAATCTCGGCCACTTTTTGCTACTTTGGGAATCAGGATATTGTGGGGCACTTCATCAAAAGCTTTGCTAAAGTCTAGATAGATTATGTCCGCAGCATTCCCATAGTCCTTTTGGGGAAGTTACCCGGTCAAAAAATGAAATAAGGTTAGCCTGGCAGGATTTGTTCTTAAGAAATCCATATTGGCTTCTAGTCATTATTGCATTGTCTTCAAGATGCTTGCAGACTGTTTTATAATTTGCTCTAGAATTTTTCCAGGGTGTGATATCACACTGACTGATCTGTCATTCCCATGTTCACCTTTTTTCCTTTCTTATAGATAGGGACAACATTAGCCCTTTCCAGTAATCTGGCACTTCTCCCGTCTTCCATGAATTCTCAAAGATGAAAGTGGTTCTGAGAATTCTTCCACGAGCTCTTTTATGACTTGGGATGACATTCATTGAGCCTTGGGGATTTGAACTCATTCAGCCCAATTAGAAGATACCTGACCATTTGCCTTTTCATCTTGGGTTGCTCTCCTGCCCCTTCAACTTATACTACCCCTTCATCAGGAAAGTTCTTCTTTTGGGAGAAGACTGAGCTGAGGTAGGAGTTGAGCACTTTTTTCTTTGTCACCTGTTATCATTGTTCCATACAAAGTGCGTAGTTGAACTCCCTTCTCTTTTGTCTGTCTTTTGCTTTGGATGTATTTGAAGAAGGCTTTTTTGTCATTTAGAGCTCCCCTCAGTTCATTCCTAGCTTTAGCCTTCCTGACGTCATCCCTGCAGTTCTTTGCTGCTTGCTTGTATTCTTCCTTTGTAGTCTTGCCTTCCTTCCACCTCCTATACATATCCTTTTTGTTTTCAGATTATCTCTCCACTTTTTGCAAAGCCACATGGACTTCCTTTGTAGTCTACTGCTCTTTTTCCTTGTTGGAATGTTTGTAGTTGTGCCTTAAGCCTTTCTTTTAAAAGATATTCCACCCTGCTTAGGTTTCTTTTCCCTTTAGAATGTCTTGCTATGGGACTTTGTTTCTTATCTCCCTGAATTTGATAAAGTTGACTTTTTTGAAATCCAGGTAACATGTTTAGCTATGTTTAGACTTAGCTTCCTTTATAATTGAAAATTCAAGCAAGGCATGGTCGCTTTCCTTCAGAGTTTCTGTAGCTGTTACTTTGTCCACTGTGGTTTCTCTATTAGTTAAGATCAGGTTGAGTAAAGCTGTACCTCTTTCTACTTTATGCTTTCATGTTAGGAATTTCTTAGAGGGGCTATGTTTGGCAGAGTGACTCCCAACAGATACCATGGAAATGGAAGTCCCCCATAATAATGACATCATGCCTCCTCGAAACACTCACAATTTTGTTTTTCAAAAGTTTCATCATTTTGCTCACCTTGATTGGGTGGGCAATAATCTACTGCAACTACTATACTCCTTTTATTCCTTTTTCCATTGGTATTAATCCAGATATGCTTGATGGGATTACTGATCTTGTCTTCCTGTATTTCTGTATCTTTATGTTAAAGATACATAAAGTGTATCTCTAACATAAAGTGCAACTCTGCCCCCTTTTCTGTTATTTCTGTTCTTTTTGAACAGGCTGTATCCTGCAAGTTATGAATTCCATTCACGGGAGCCTTCCCACCAAGTTTCAGTTATGCCTACCAGGTTATATTTGCTCTTGTTTGCTATGAGTTCAAGTTTGTGTTTGTTTCCCATACTTTGGGCATTGGTATATACGCGTAGACATCTAAGGCCACACGAACCATTCCCTGGCTTTTTTCCTACATTTTTTGGAACACTGGTGGTAGGACCAGGTAGAGTTTCTTTTGCTGTTGCAGTACATAAACCTTTGTCAATTGAAGTTGCCCACAGATGTACATCTCCCTCCTCTATAGAATTCAGTTTAAATCCCTCTTGATAAATTTCTTCATAGTGTGGCCAAGTACATCCGTTCCTTTCTTTGTAAGGTGCAATCAATCACTTGCCAGCAGTCCATCTTCCAGGAAGTTTAGCCTGTAGTTCCAGAATTCAAATCTCTCATGGCTGTTCCACCAACATAGCCAGGAATTCACGTGGAGATTTTTTTCCTTGTCTTTCCTCTTCCACAAACTGGAAGGATTGAGGAGAAAACTATCTGGGCCTCATTATTCTTAATTTTCTTTCCTAAGGTTTTGAAGTCTGATGTCATTTCCTCAAAGCTCCTGTTGGCAGTGTCCTTAGTTCCTGCATGAATGAGAAGTGTGTCAGTGGGTTGTATGAGGATTGGTAGCCTGTTGATCTTTGCTCCAGGGAGACGGCACACCGGATGATTCCAAGGGTCTTCCCAGCATACATGTTTTTTCCATCTCAAACAACAGGAAATCTCTGACAGCTATCACTCCCCTCTTCATTGTTGTAAACTTGGTATTTCTGTCCTTACTGGACTTTTTGTCTGTTTTTCAGAGTTTCTCA